TGTACCAAAAACGGCGGCGCTCCGCGCCGCCGTTTTTGAGATATTCGCGAAAAACCACAAGGGGGGGTGTTCAAACACCCCCCCCCCCAGCAGGGCGCGGGTTAAAGTGTGGCAACTGGCACAGCCTATCACTGAGTGTGGTGTAGTGCGGCACAGCCTACCAATGTAACGTGTGATTTATTGCGGCACAGAGTATACAGACTACCAACTGGAAATAAAACACGTGGCGTTTGTCACCGGCAAACAACTCGTCCCAGAACTCAGAAGAGTCGAGCTGGGAAACTGTATATACCTAATCTCGAAAGTACGCAAACAGCGCCATTAGGGCTCATTTCCACGATCATTTGGCTCTCACATTTATTCCGTGAGCCCACCAGGGTTTACCAATTGATCCAGATAATATTCAAATCGAGTCTTGAGGATCGTCTACAACTTCATTTTCTTTCTCATTTATAATGACCTCCGTTTGACCCCGGCTATCTGAGGACTGAGCTGAAGGTGTATGGTTCTAATGACGTTTTATTTACCTCCCTCCGGCGCTCCCCCTTCTGGCGCCGCAACTCACTGACCAGGCCCTCCCTCGTCAGTGGCCTCAAACAAAAATACACACACCATTTCCACATATGGTAATGCATACCATGGATGCCGACATCATGCCCATGAATGAGCTTACAAAACACTAAAGGCATTCGTGACACCATTTGTTTAATTTATTGATGACATGCACGAGCAGATAGCCCAGGGCCTGCTTCTCTCGCCCGCTGGCTTACACCACTGTGTATTTTCACCTCATTATTCCGGAATCTGAGCGGCTCGATCGCGGTACGTCACACGAAAAGGCCATCTCTTCTCTGGGTATCGGCTCCGTCCAGCACCTGACGTTTAACACGGAGAGATACGTCACAGGAGCGACGCAAGTCGTCCGCTGCGGTGACGGTCAAATTCGGTCGGACGGAGGGCCGATCGACGGACCGCGACGGGACGGGGGCAGTGAATCGTACTGCACTCGGCAGACGGTACCTCGCAGGGTCTACATTATACAGTTATCTGCACTGCAGTGTCTGTACTTTGTGCCTAATTGATTGCACTGCAGTGCATTTTCAGCGACCTGTCATGACCAGCCGTCTGGCACAGGTCACTACAGTGCCCCCTCTCTTATCTCAGGAGACGGTACATACATGCATAAGTAATAGACATGTATGTACCCAAGTCCGTCCCTCCCGTGCCGTGCCGCTCGTGCCGCTCGGAATGTCATCCCGTCCCGCAGTGACGTCACGGGCTCATCAGATGAGCCGTGTAAACACGACTGGCCGGCCGGAGCGCAGTCCGATCTGCACACGGCCGTCTGGTCGCGCGGCCCGAGCCGCCCCCAGCGCAGGTGTCCCGGCAGAGAACGGGCGGCGGTATATCGCCGCCCATCGGGGCACGGAACCACGGCCCGGCTGTGGCCGGGGCAGCACGGGTATTGTACAGAGTTGCCAGGAGGAATGCAACGTTCTTGCATGATGCAACTCACTCACTGGCATTGTCCTAAACTAGGCATTTTTCTCATACATGGGTTTCTTAGTATTGGTCATAATTAACATAGATAACGTGATATGTTCGTCATAGTGTAGATATGAAACGTAAGACCGTGAGACACAGAAGGGGTACCATGCAGGATGAAACGATCATATTTCAAAAAATGGTGAGGGGCGCTGGGGTTCCGTGCGCCGATGGTATTGGAAAAACCGTAAAAATCGATGGTGCGCTTTCGCTATGAAGTCAAAATAAGAGTTCTGAAAACGGTGTTCCATACCTATAGGTCAAACGTGTCACATGCAGGTCAGGTCGATTAGTCGTAGGCAGGGCTGCGGAGTCGGACTCGGAGTCGGTCGGAGTCGGCAGGTCTGCCCGGGGTCGGAGTCGGAGTCAATTTTGGAAACCGGATCCGGAGTCGGAGTCGGGAGTTGGAGTCGGTCGGCGTCGACAGTTCTACCCGGAGTCGGAGTCAGAGTCGGAGTTGGTTTTTGAAAGCCGGAGTCGGAGTCGGAGTCGCCGAAATTCCATCGACTCTGCAGCCCTGGTCGTAGGGCAGTGCAAAATTCAAGGGTCAATAAATATATAGGATTAATGATGATACAATATCAATATTGGTACATCTGAATCGCTTGATGTTTTATACATTCGTGATTAAATATTTATGTGCTAATTATAGGCATAAGCAGAAATGTTAAAGCCAAATGATGGTACGCCTTCTTCAATCTATATCGAGCACAAAAAAAAACGTTAAAAACACACTATGAATATAAGAATAGATGAACCAAAAAATCTCATCAGAAGCAAGGAAATTATACCGATTTTAAATAGCAGTTGATTCCCATCTGTCGGCGTTCGGCGACGGATAACCAAGCCGCCCTGCAGACTGCGCTCGCTAACCCGCAGCATAAAAGTGCGCTGGGAGCGACAGCGTTCCTTCTGCAGTGGGCGTTCCGAGTGCACGGTGTATGAAGCATAGCAAACTGAAAAAGGCGCAGCCAATTAAATACACACAGGATAATAAGGAACTGTCGATTTTCGACCGTGCTCATTAGTTCATTACTACAGCGGCTTGAGGCTGATAAGGGGGCGCAGCTAAACGTTTTTTTTTTTTTAGCTTGTTTTGCCTCTGAATTCGGAAGCATGTGGGAGACGACAGGGATAGTTACTGTACAAATGGTATAAAGGTTGGTATCGAATATAGGTATGCTAAGAGGAAGAAAGTGAAAAGTGATGCATCTATGCACTTTTGACTTGATTAAGCATACAGGTGGCTGACGGGGAAAAGTTTTTTAAGGGATTATCATTGCATGCATTGCGATACACGACCATATTCTCACACTATCGATTCGTCGGTCGGCAAAATAGTTTTTATTTGCAATGACCAGAAATGGATTGTACTTCGGTGTGACAAAAATATCATTGATAATAAATCGTTTAGCGGACTGACTCTGGGTGTAACGAAGCTATTTTTCCCTGTACTTCGACCTTTATTGACAGGTCTTCAAAGGGGCAATGCGATTCAAAAAACATCTAGACGTGAAATTTCCTCCTTCCGAGCGCCCTCCTCGCTGCACACTGCTTCAGCACGTTTGGCTAGACATTTGATGACACCCGTTTTTATGGAGTCTGCATGGTGAGAACTGAAGTGGATATATAAATTGGTTGCTGTAGGTTTTCTGTAAACCGTTGTTTTCAGCGCGTTTCCCGCTCTCGCCACTTCTACGTCCAAAAAGGGAATTTTCCCATCTTCTTCGACCTCTCGTGTGAATTGTATGTCCGGGCATACGTTGTTCAGATGCCTATGAAACTCGTCTAACGCGTCCGTCCCATGTTGCCAGACCACAAAAGTGTCGTCCACGTAGCGCCGCCAGTATTTTGGTTTGAGATGAGCGGTTTCAAGAAGTGTTTTCTCGAGAGTCTCCATGAAGCCGTTTGCCAGTGCGACTGATAAACTAAGGCCCATAGGGGCTCCTTCAAGCTGACTATATAGCTGGCCGCCACACTGAAAATAGCTACAGTTTAGGCACTCCTTCATCAGTGTTCTGATAGAATCGACAGACATTCCACACCTGTCTGGGAGTGTCTCGTCATTGAGAAGCTTCTCACATACGGCGTCTATGGCTTCGTCTGTTGGGACCCTCGTGAATAACGATGTGACGTCAAAACTAACCATGATGTCGTCTGGTGACAGTGTCAGGCTTTTGACTTGCTCAACAAACTGCGCGGAATTTGAAACCGTATGCTCCGCAACGGTTTCAGCACTGGCCAACGGCTTCATGGAGACTCTCGAGAAAACACTTCTTGAAACCGCTCATCTCAAACCAAAATACTGGCGGCGCTACGTGGACGACACTTTTGTGGTCTGGCAACATGGGACGGACGCGTTAGACGAGTTTCATAGGCATCTGAACAACGTATGCCCGGACATACAATTCACACGAGAGGTCGAAGAAGATGGGAAAATTCCCTTTTTGGACGTAGAAGTGGCGAGAGCGGGAAACGCGCTGAAAACAACGGTTTACAGAAAACCTACAGCAACCAATTTATATATCCACTTCAGTTCTCACCATGCAGACTCCATAAAAACGGGTGTCATCAAATGTCTAGCCAAACGTGCTGAAGCAGTATGCAGCGAGGAGGGCGCTCGGAAGGAGGAAATTTCACGTCTAGATGTTTTTTGAATCGCATTGCCCCTTTGAAGACCTGTCAATAAAGGTCGAAGTACAGGGAAAAATAGCTTCTTTACACCCAGAGTCAGTCCGCTAAACGATTTATTATCATTAATATACCTGGGTTTAAATATGACTTTACAGTCTCATATAAAAACATCATTCACTTTGACACGTAGAAAATGGTGGACTAAAATATTTGTTAATCAGTTGAAGCGCGAAAATCCCAGCAATTTCCATAACACGGAATACCTAAATGGTTATCCAGCACTGCATGCAGGTAGGTCCTGGCGGTCAACATCAATGAGGGAAACATCCCAATGAAAAACACGCACGTTGCAAACGCTTTCATTCAGCTGTATGCAGGGGGCGAGTCCCGTGGGAGAAGCAACAGATGCGCCGCCTGGCACTGCACCGGTGAGATAACAGTGCTCCACACCGAGCCTTCATTCACAGCCGCAGCTGCGTTATACAAGCGCAGCTGAACTTTTTGTCGCTCCTCGTGTCCGTATTGTAAATGGGTGTTGGCAGACTGTTTCACTATTTTCGCGAGGTCAGTTCGGTTCAACAGCTGATCGCCCCGAGACGTGGCGACCCGTCAGATATAAAATGTGACCGGCTCCGTCACCAGAAGACAGACATCCCTCGGCGGCTCTACTGCGCCTCTCGGTAGCGCCGCGGGCGGCGCCGCCCCCGCCCCGCCCGCGCCCGCGCGCACGCCGCCGCCGGCCATGAATACATCGGGCGCGCACCATGTAAATGAGCGGCCGGCCAAATACGGGCCGGCCGTCGGCAGACGCCCCGCCGACGCCGCCCCGGCAGCCGGCGCGCCGCGAGCTCCCGTCGACACCGACACACGAACGTCGGCGCCGACGTTGAGCGCATGCGCGCCGCGGCTGCTCCGAATATAGAGTTGTGATACAGGAGCCGTGTGTTGGGCTCGGCTGCGTACGCGGCGCCGGCGGCGGCCGGAGCGAGCGGGCGCCGTAGACGGTACGGCGCGGCCGCCGCGGGAGCACGGTCGGACGGGCGCAGTCGTGCGGTGTCAGTGGGTGCGGACTGGTGCGGACTGGTGACGCCGCGGAGACGTGGTGCTGGTGCACACGGACGGACTGTGTACGGAGCGGGACGGAGCACAGTCCAGTGGTGTGAGACGGTGACTGGACGGCTTCTAAGGATGATAACACCGGACGGGATTTGAAAGGTGAGTACAAATACAACCCTGCGGGTACTACAAGCAGGATATTTGAGTTATATACTGTCACGAAGCTTGGAAGGTTCATTGTAATCAATTATCTTCAAGAACCAAGCATGACAGGTTTAACGCCTGTTCTGGTGCTCGTTATTCGTTCATGAAGACTTTCCTTCCCGGTTGTGGATCCTGTGCCGATGCACATATGTGCCAATGCTGACCGTACGGATAAAGCGTCATACAAACAAGATTTAAAGTTGCAATGAAATACAATTACACGTATAAACAACATGCAACTGGTAGATATTGACATGCTATCATCTAACCGCTAACGCCATGCTTAGCCTCATTATGAACACTTATTGAACATTTTAAATACGGTGTTCAAAACTAAATAAGGCAATTAATAAACGGATCACGGCGCAATGTGCGTGCAGCGAGGTACGAAGGACGCGCAAAAACTCTGGATGTGTGTCTGGCTGTGTAAAAGCTCAGTGTACTCTGTTGGAAAGTCTTTGGTTGCCTTGAAAACTTTTTAAGAATGCCAATGCAAACTGCAGATGTAAAATGTCATGAATTAGCTCGCGATCGCTCCGCAATTGAATTCGAGATTCATTCCTGAACTTTGGTGGTTAAAGGGACCCTCCCACCTTCAAAAAAGTTAATGAATTGGCATGAAAGTGATGTCGCTCGGTTCAGAAAGAGCAAAAACGAATATCTACCAAATTTCATCGAAAAATATTCACCGGTTTTCAAGATATTAGACTTTTACTTTTGTTTACTTTTTGGGATCTCCGCTGTTCCTAGCGACTTTATTTGAAAGTGCGGCATTTGTTGCGCGCAAAGCAGCATATACCACCGCGTGCTACAAAACGTTTTAGTCAAACATTTAAAAATCGTTAGATATCTGCGCTGACGTCACACATTCAGAGGGGTATTCCTATGCATTAGCCCCTCTGAATCAAAATGCTGCAATTTTGAAATTCAATATTTCCGATTTAAGGCATTTCTCGATGTTGTGAGTGCCGAAACCGGTAATTGTGAGCCAGGGACCCCATTTTGGCTATCTCAACTCAAATCTAATGTTAAGGTGGGAGGGTCCCTTTAATCAGCTCGCATGCCGTTTGATGATCTCATATATACGCTGAAAGCGTGTCAAAAGGGCTTACTCCTACCTACGAGCAGCAACTGCTGCTTATATGAAACTTTTTTTTTGTAAAATTAGGCTGTAAAATACAGAATCGGCACCCGCGGGAATGAGAGGATTATTGTCATCATCATCAGTAGTCCGGTCCTTGCGGAGCACACTGGCAGCAGCTTCATATACGAGCAGTTACTTATCATTAAAAAGCGTATGCCTCGTTAAACAGACAATCATGCAATGCAATGTAACAGAAACCACACAGAAAACGTTACAAATGAAACTGTATTTCATTATCACACTATCAGTTGTGTTACCCATATTTTGCTTGCCGGTGACCGTTAGTTATCCGTTTGAACCACAAGGGAAGGCATTTAGTCGACACAGTGAACGGGCCTGAAACAGGCATTCCGTTTCCATTTCCGTTTTCCTATTCAATTTCGCCGAACCGTCGACTGATCTTGAGAGTACCGAAAACGCCACACGGCTGCATGCGACGGGGGATTTGTGACGTATTCGCGGTTCTGTTACCGCCGCTGTCATTTTTCGGCTCCGGCATAGCACACGTGCCGGCGTTTCGTTCTGTGTATTCCGGTTGGTCGTCGGCCCGGCGGAAAAACGTCGGAAACACGCCTGGACTGCGACCGGCGGCATGCGGTGACGACTGTTCTGCTTCCAAATGGTCCTGGCCGACGTGTGCTCCCGGGTACGCGGGACTCCCTCGGTGAGCTTCTGGGAAGGGAGTTCCTGCGTCCCCATGAGACATGGCGCGTTCTCCGGGGATAGGACAAGGAGTTCGTCTGTCATCGACAACACCCTGTCAGGTGTCACACGGTGATAGCGTAAAAATAATTATGTCCGTTTATCGTAGAATCGGAAACCGAGGGAGGGTGTTTTAGTGGTAATGGGCCGAAGGTAATGACGTGTTTTACACGATTCTCCACGCTACCACACCTTCAGCTTTTCATCGTCGTTTTTCTGTGAATTATATCCCTGTCTCAGGTTCTTTACTCTCTTCATTTGACTATAACCTCCGGAAAATAAGTCATGAACTTGTTGTAAAGCCAAGCTAATCGTTCAGCGCGAAGCGAAATTGATCACGCCAAAGTCATCATTTTCATCAGGCGGATCTGCAGCTGCATTTCGTCAATGAAACGACATCTCGCGCTGCAAACACCTCCACTCCGCGCCCACTTACTGCGATGCGATCATGCAAGAGATGCGATCGATTACGAAGTGAAACGGAAAGAGCATGCAGCGCCACTCAGGCATCACTTTAATCAGACACGGCTGGCATTGGCCCTCGCTGAATGCCCGCCTCTTTTGCATATGCATCGCATTGATCATGTTCGTCGTTGCATGACTGCCGAAATGACCGGCGCTCCATCCAAGGAGCTGCTCTGATGGGTGCTGAAACGGGAGGTGCGGGCGCATATAATGACAGATCAGAGCAGCAGCGCCGCAGCCACCGGCGGCGCGCGGTGACCGGCGCCTCGTCCGACACGCACCGGCCATTAGAAACCCATCAATTATTGTGCGCCGGCCCGACCGGCAGACGGTACCCGGGCACAGCTTCGGGCCACGGGAAGATGACGACGGGGTTCGGGTGGAGCTCGGCTCCTTAGAAACTTCCGACATATTTCGAAAGGCTCGTGACAGGGTCTTATGGACTAGATTGTCCCGAAATAATTCCAGAGAAGGGGAATTTCAGCTGGTCTCGTCCCGTCACCCTCTCATTTTTCACTCCGTCCCTACCGCACAAGATCCGCCCCGAGACATGCCAGTGGTGGACCGCCTGACGAAACCCTCGCCGGCGAAAGTTGCTCTGGTAGCTGACTTTCCACCGATTTGGAAATATGGGCCGAGGGGAAATAGTTCAACCGTGTCGCGGGCTGCCCCGTCCAGGAAACGTACAGTCACCGTCACGGGAAAGGCTCCATGCGACAGATATAGCGAGCCGGCCATGGAAAACTCGACTGGGGCATCTATCTCAATGAAGAGCGTAGGATTCTATTGCGACTTGGAAGATTGATGACCATAACTACAGTATTTATCTCCGAAACGAAAATAATTGTATGTTCAGACGAGTGGGAGTGACAGCTTCTATCTCCGTGATTCATTAATCATACGAGAGCGCAATGTTAATTTATTTGTGATTATCTGGTACCTACTACACAAATAGCCAGGCACCATAAATGATACTTGGCTTTCTAATCGTGCAGACAGAGATGTGAATCGTGTATAGCCATAGTATCAACGCACTGGTGCGTGCAAAAGTGAATGTGCAGCCGCCACCCACGGAGACAGGACACACTATCGGGAAGGCCGCCTGTGGTAGTTCCGTGACACCGCGGCGGAACCGGCAGGTGCGTCCCGGCCCTTTCACCGTCACGACTCAGTCGTGAGACACAGGAGAGGGGACATAGGACTAGAAACCATCGCACCAGAGACCTTCGGGTCGAATGGATCAGATACCATCTTCCAACTCGCGCCGGACCGGCCTCTTCTGTCGGCGATCTCTGCCCTCCCCTATCATCGACCTCACGCCGTCGATCCGTCTCAGCCAGCACGTGGCAGGGATGTCCCATGGGGCCAGCTGTGGCCGACGGTCGGTAAGAGACAGGTGCTACGTGCCACCGACCGACCGACGTAGCGACCGCGCCGACGGACCACGCCTAGTCGACGGACCGACCGTATGTCGTTACGGCGAACCACGCCGAGTCGACGGACCGATTGGCCTTACGTCGGAAACGCCACCGGTGTGAGCCGAACTCGCCCGAAGACGGTGATAAGCACTAAGCAGTAAGCAGCCCTGTCCGCTGTCCAGGTGGGCGGGCGAACAGCCGGCGCGGTAACTGCCCGTTCAGACCCACCCCTCCCTGCTGACCCTCTCTGCGCTCCTGTCCGTCGGGCGGACGCAGAAACAGGGCGGTGTTGCACGCGGCCAGAGCGACGGCCGTAAAATGTTCGGTCAGCAGGGCAACACGTACGACGTATTTGGTGGCCGCGTCCATCCTGAGACAATTGTGGCGCGAGCACCTGATGTCACCCCGGTGCTGATACAAATCCGACCGATTTATATACAACAAGGTGACATGTATCTATCCTCAAAAACTGAATGGCGATCCGGCTAAAAGCTAGCCCTGCCTGTATGTTTGCGCTCTCTGAGCAGAGGACATCTGGCGGGCGGGCCGTTTCCACATTCCTGTGGGTGGCCTGTTCAAACCTTCTGACAGATGTCTCGGTAATAACATGAGGCTTTACGTCACGTATGGTAAATACCTGCCGCACGTGCCGCGCATCAGTTTTTAAATTCATTGATTTATATCCATTATACCACGGGCTTTTATTTGCTTGAGCGCAATGCATGTGACAATGCGGCATGTATATATTTCTACATTATATTTCAAGATCCCCCGATGTCCTCAACTGCAGCCTGCACGTATGCATTTCCGTAAGCAGTTACCAGAGGCAGCGTGATTTCCGCGTGCCAAAAGCAGGCCGCGAAAAGCTGATAAGGTTTGATAATATAACCCAAACTTCAGCACCTAATGATCACCAATCTGATAATCGCGCCGATCACGAACTGAGCTCTAGGTGCACCAGCTGCCTGACGTACAGTCCACAGCAGAAGTAATGTGTGGTTTCAGTTATGGGTATGTTCTGCTTCTGAAGCCTAGGAACGATCAGCCAGACTGCAACGAGACTTTAAATGTAGCTTACATGTATCTTCACCCTTGCAGCTACAACTTTATCTATTGACGTCTTCTTTTTAATCAGTCCGCATTTGAAAATCGTCGGTCAAAGCCATCCGTTGAGATTGGTAAAACCACACATTACTTTAGCGGTGGGCTGTACCCCGGCCACCGTG